AAAAACAAAAAGACAAAAAAAAAACAACAAAAAAAAAAAAAAAAAAACCCAACAAAAAAAAAAATTCCAAAAAAAATAAAAAAAAATCTTTTCCAAAAAAAAAATCAAAAAAAAAATAAAAAAAATGCGACGTAAAAAAAAAAACTAGAAAAAAAAGAAAAAAAATGATCGGTTAAAAAAAAAAGGCGAAAAAAAAAAAAAAAAAGACGCATTGAAAAAAAAAAATCGAAAAAAAACAAAAAAAAAGGATCTATAAAAAAAAAATCAGAAAAAAAATAAAAAAAATTATTTTACAAAAAAAAAAATATAAAAAAAATAAAAAAAAAGAGCATACAAAAAAAAAAAGTTAAAAAAAAAAAAAAAAATGTAGAGCAAAAAAAAAAAAAATAAAAAAAAAAAAAAAAACATACGCAAAAAAAAAAAAAATGAAAAAAAAAAAAAAAAACGGTGGTCAAAAAAAAAAAACCGAAAAAAAACAAAAAAAAACAACGACAAAAAAAAAAATTTTAAAAAAAATAAAAAAAATATTTTTACAAAAAAAAAAATGTAAAAAAAAGAAAAAAAAAAATGTTTTAAAAAAAAAAAAAGAAAAAAAATAAAAAAAATTTTCATAGAAAAAAAAAACCGTAAAAAAAAAAAAAAAAAGCTTTAATAAAAAAAAAAACAAAAAAAAAAATAAAAAAAATTCTGTTCTAAAAAAAAAATAATAAAAAAAATAAAAAAAAATATCGATTAAAAAAAAAAAGGAAAAAAAAAAAAAAAAAAATCATTTTGAAAAAAAAAAATTAAAAAAAAAAAAAAAAAAGTTTCGCGCAAAAAAAAAAATTTAAAAAAAAAAAAAAAAATATATACTCAAAAAAAAAACACCAAAAAAAAGAAAAAAAAATCAAATGGAAAAAAAAAATACAAAAAAAAATAAAAAAAAATGAAGCATAAAAAAAAAACTTTAAAAAAAAAAAAAAAAAAAATCTAATAAAAAAAAAAATTGAAAAAAAATAAAAAAAAGTTTTTTTCAAAAAAAAAAAATGAAAAAAAAAAAAAAAAATGATAAAGCAAAAAAAAAAAGCTAAAAAAAAAAAAAAAAACTGATTGCCAAAAAAAAAAAGAAAAAAAAAAGAAAAAAAAGCCAGTAAAAAAAAAAAAATTCTAAAAAAAATAAAAAAAATAAATGGCGAAAAAAAAAAATAAAAAAAAAAGAAAAAAAAAGAGTTTAAAAAAAAAAAATGACAAAAAAAACAAAAAAAAATGGTTGTGAAAAAAAAAAACAAAAAAAAAAAAAAAAAAAGCTGACGGCAAAAAAAAAACAGAAAAAAAAACAAAAAAAACCAACCATCAAAAAAAAAATATTAAAAAAAAAAAAAAAAACAAGCTATCAAAAAAAAAATACGAAAAAAAAAAAAAAAAAGACGATAAGAAAAAAAAAAAAAAAAAAAAAATAAAAAAAATATCTTTAAAAAAAAAAAATGCTAAAAAAAATAAAAAAAAAACAACAAAAAAAAAAAAACTTCAAAAAAAAAAAAAAAAACGTCACATAAAAAAAAAAACGGTAAAAAAAAGAAAAAAAACGCACCTGGAAAAAAAAAAACACAAAAAAAACAAAAAAAAAAAAGCTTAAAAAAAAAAAATTGAAAAAAAATAAAAAAAACAACCATGTAAAAAAAAAATATTAAAAAAAATAAAAAAAAACCTCAAACAAAAAAAAAATACAAAAAAAAATAAAAAAAAGTACACAAGAAAAAAAAAAATGAAAAAAAAAGAAAAAAAAAACAGATTTAAAAAAAAAACTCAAAAAAAAACAAAAAAAATCTATTGTCAAAAAAAAAAAGTTAAAAAAAATAAAAAAAACCAATCAGAAAAAAAAAAATAAAAAAAAAAAGAAAAAAAAGTCGCCGATAAAAAAAAAAGCAAAAAAAAAATAAAAAAAAGACAGCGAAAAAAAAAAAAAACAAAAAAAAAGAAAAAAAACAACTCACTAAAAAAAAAATCAAAAAAAAAAGAAAAAAAAGAGAGCATTAAAAAAAAAACTAAAAAAAAAACAAAAAAAATGGTCATTTAAAAAAAAAATTTTAAAAAAAACAAAAAAAACATACTCGCAAAAAAAAAAACAGAAAAAAAAAAAAAAAAACATTTGATCAAAAAAAAAACCGTAAAAAAAACAAAAAAAATTGCGGCTGAAAAAAAAAAGGCTAAAAAAAAGAAAAAAAACAAGAAATTAAAAAAAAAATCTGAAAAAAAATAAAAAAAACTAATGTTCAAAAAAAAAACTTCAAAAAAAATAAAAAAAATAACTTTATAAAAAAAAAACATTAAAAAAAACAAAAAAAAGAAAAATACAAAAAAAAAAGCG